TAGGCCGCGCTAGACTCAGCAGACGCTGCGGCTAGAACAATTGCGTCGGGAGTCGTGATGAGACGTTCGGCGTGGTTGCAGGCTTCAGGTCTCCCGCCGAAGGTGCAGACCACGCTGCAGGACCTCCCGTTTGAAGGTTCGGGCTTGTTTTCCGACCAGACGGATGCCAGGCTACATAGCCTTAAGGACTCCCGAGCGACCCTTAAGTCGTTGGGTATGCACACCCCGGTAACGCAGCGTAAGCCCTTTAAACCCCAGCCGCCGCAAAGGCAATACCATCCTCGACCCCGACACGAGCCGTACCGCCGTCGAGGCAGGGATAACAGGCGGAGACGTAACAATACGCCTAACCAGGGCCAGAGTCATGGCCAGGGCAAGCCACAGCCAGGAAATAAGCCAGGCTTTTGAAGTTACGCCCGAGGACAGCGTACCATATCCCATTCCGGATCCTCCTCTGTCTTTCAAAGACCGCCTGTCCCATTTCTACCGGGCATGGTCGCGCATAACATCGGACCAATGGGTCCTGCGCACAGTGAAGGCGGGCTATACCCTTCAGTTTTCCTCGCCCCCTCCCTGCCATCCCCCTTCCCCGTCCCTCTTCAGGGACCCTTCTCACGAGCAACTTCTCAAGCAGGAGGTTCAGTCCCTTCTCACTGCTGGAGCAGTAGAAGAGGTTCCAATAGACCTAAGGGGAAAAGAATTCTACTCCAGATACTTCCTGATCCCCAAGGCAAAAGGAGGCCTCCGTCCTATTTTGGACCTGCGCGATCTAAACAAGTTTCTGATCAAAGCTCGCTTCCGTATGGTCTCCCTGGGAACTATTATTCCATCCCTGGATCCGGGGGATTGGTATGCTGCCCTCGATATGAAAGACGCCTACTTTCACATCTCAATCAATCCGGCCCACAGACGTTTTCTGCGCTTCATCGTCGACCAGCGCCACTTCCAGTTTACGGTCCTGCCCTTCGGCCTGGCGTCAGCACCACGAGTGTTCACAAAGTGCATGTCCGTGGTAGCAGCCTTCCTTCGAAAGAGAAGGATACGTGTATTTCCGTACCTGGACGATTGGCTACTCGCGGGCAGGTCGGAGGCCGAGGTCCGGTCTCATGTGACGCTGGCCCTGCAGACGTTCGACAAGCTCGGCCTCCCGGTCAATGTGCCCAAGTCCACGTTAGTCCCCACACAGAGGTTGGACTTCATAGGCGCAACCCTGGACTCGGTAACCGCACAAGCGAGCCTACCAGAGGCACGGTTCAGGTCAATTCACAGAGCCGTAAGCACAGTCCTAATGTTCCCCACGACAACGGCGAGGTGTTGCATGCAGATTCTGGGGCATATGGCAGCTTGCACGCACGTGGTCAGACATGCCCGCCTAAGGCTTCGGCCCCTACAGTTGTGGTTCGCCCATACGCACCGCCCCAACAGAGACCCATTGGATCAGGTAGTCACGATCCCAAACCAGGTGCTCGGCTCGCTACGCTGGTGGCTAGATCACCAACAGGTATGCAAA